TGACAAACATGTTTATCACTTCTCTCGACGATAGAGCGGAGCAGGGAGGATGCTCACATGTTGGAGACCCATAGTCCTGACCCTATGGTGAGCATCGTGTGTGCAGCGCCTGAGATTTGGGAGAGGCTTCCCTGAGTCCCTTGGTTTGTTTAGAGGTTGTTTCCATGCATCACTTATTGCTTTTTTAATGAAAGAAATTGCAATTGTCTTAATACAAGTCTCAGAAGCTGGGTTTGGATCATGGTTTCTGAGTGGTTTATATGTGGCCATGATCCTTCTGTATTTCAGTAATTGGTGTTCGGGTGATGAAGGTGATGAATGAAGTACAGAACAAGTGTGGGACCTTGGGAGAATCTGTGGGAAACCTGATTTTTGCTTTGGAGGGAGCAATCCTCCAGCCCTCCTTATCGCTTTCCCAGAAGCTCCAGAGGGATACAGAGGTGGATTTGGATGCTCTGACTGCAGTCCTTGGAGCAGTACTTGGTTTGGGGACCGTGTGCTCTGTAAGGTGTCCCAGCATCACCTTCACATGAGGAAGAGCCCAGTGAGGAAGGCTGCTTGTTAAGAGACCCATGTATGCATACATAAAACTCCAGCCCAGGAAGGGGCACCTGTATTAACTTCTTTTCCTCTCCATATCGTGCTGCAGGGAAATCTCCACCATTACAGCTGCTGGGCGGCTGGTTCTGTGATGTGTCACATCCTGCAAGCTGCGACAGGCAGGAGGCCAGGGCTGGGGACCATGGAGGATGGAGGCTCTGGGTTGGGTGAGGTGCAAGGATCCACCTGGAGCCACCTGCATCCACTTGAAAATCCTCCAGGAGCCACCTGGAACCACCTGGAGTCCTCTAGGAGACACCTGGAGTCCCCTGGGAGCTGCTTGAAGCCATCTGGAGCCACCTGGAGCCTCCTGAGACACAGAGCTGTGAGTCACCAACAGATCCCTGCAGTGTTACAAGGATCCTCCCAGAGAGCTCCCCCTCACCCCATCAACCCTGACCCTACTGGGACCTCAGGCTCTTCTGGCCTGCTACAGAGATCCAATTCCCTCTCAGTGTCAACCCCTGGTGTAATTCAAAGCCTTCTTTGACTCGTGTTCCTGGCTCGGTGGTTCCCATTCCTCCCCCACGACAAAGGCTCCATCGCCCTCAGCATCCCCTCTGTCTCCGCCTTTGCCCTCGATTCCTTTCCTGGTCTTTTCCCCAGGGCTGATTTTGGAGGCTTAGTGATGTAAATCAAACCGCACCCGCTGCCCTCTCAGGGAACGAAATGATGTGTCAAGAAAAACTTCTCATTTTTACCTCTCTGATGGTATGTGGTTTTTTTTTTAAGTATTACTATATTAGTATTTAATTGCTGGGTTGCACCGAGTCCATGACAAAAGCTGTTGGCTCCCTCTCAGCAGGAAGCAGCGCCTTAGGAAAACTTGGCACCAGGTGGGACTGACCAGGAATCTCCAAACCAGTGAGAGGGGGGATGCTGCAGACTTCAGCTCCCACCACAAGAAGGGACAGAAGCAATTTAAAGAGACAGGGAGATGATTCAAAGAGTAGAAAGCATTGATACGAGGTGGCCATGAGCTGTATTTTTTATTGTCTCTGTATCTGCCATGAAAGAACGAAGGGAGGTGAATCAAACACAGCACGAGGGCATTGCAGTGTTACATGACTCACAAAGACAAGGAAGAACACTTGGCATTGCGCACTGAGACAGTGGGTTACATCTTCAAATCACATCACGAGCAACAAGACAGGAAGAGTGGAGATCTCCAAGGACACGTGGAACACCAGGGCAACACTGTGAAAAGTTTCTCACCCATCCCCACTCTTCGCATCCCTTACTTTATCTTCCGGGCTGGCACCTTGCAGACCTGCTGCTGTTGCTGGCGGGGGATGCACTTGGCCGTGGGCACTTGCTGCACAGGGGCTGGCGTGGGGCAGCACTGTGGGATGCACTGCACTGGCTCACTGCATTGCGGCTGCTGAACCGAACTGTGGCATCCCCCTCCAGAGGAACCCTGGCACCGCTCGGAGCACACTGACCTCCCATAGCCTTGGCATCCTCCAGTTGACCCATAGCTGTAGGTGGGCCTCCTGACACAGCTGGATCCGCCACCTCCATGGCACGAACCCGAGGACCCCTGGCACCTCTCAGAGCACACTGATCGCCCATAACCTTGGCATCCTCCAGTTGACCCATAGCTGTAGGTGGGTCTCCTGACACAGCTGGACCCGCCACCTCCATGGCACGAACCTGAGGACCCCTGGCACCTCTCGGAACACACCGACCTCCCGTAGCCCTGACATCCCCCCGTTGACCCATAGCTGTAGGTGGGTCTCCTGGCACAGCTGGACCCTCCACCTCCATGGCACGACTCAGCCGTGGTGTAGCCTTGGCATCGCTCAGAGCAGACCGGCTGCCGGTAGCCGTAGTGCCGGTAGTTGTGCCCTCTCATGCCCTCCACGCCTTCGCCGTCGCACCGCGAGGAGCAGCAGTTGTTGTAGCCGTAACGGAACGGTGTGCGCCGGGTGTCCAGCCAGGACCCAGCAGGGTCATACCAGGTGGAGTTCAGGTTGAAGTAGGACTCTCTTCCGGAGGAGTAAATCATGTTGGAGTTGCAGGGAAAAAACCTGGAAAACACAGATAGGTCTCCATTTCCACATCCTCCCTTTTTGTTTAGCTTCCCATGCGTATCCCAGCCCTGCTCGTCATCAAGACCAGATCTAAAAGACATTCTTGCTATCACCCAATACTTCCAAACCCTCTTTCTGACCTTGCACTTTTCATCTCCCAGCACAGAATTTTTTCATCTCCCAGCACAGAAGCAGCTATAAGGTACTGCAGCACACAGTGGAACTGCTGAGAATCCCATACCCACATTCCCTAGTAGCTTCCCCTCTGCTTAGCCCCTGGTTAAGTGCAGTCCAAAGGAAGGCTCTCGTGTCCCCACTGCATGACCTCCTGCATCCCGACCACCTCAAACCCATCCCAGCTGCTCTGAGCTGCCTTACCCAAGTGATGAGGGAAGGCAGTCGCAGACCAGGGGTGCAGACTGTGAGAGACAGAGGGACGGAGCCCTTTTATAGGGCTACAGATCTTCTCCCTGTAAATGAAACACACTGCAGGAACGAGGATTAAATTATTTATTGACTAAACATCCCTTCCATTTAGATGCTGTTCCCAGGACTTGGCACGTTCTGCTTGACTCACGATTCTTGATAAGTATCTCTTAATTATACCACAGTTACTGAGAAGTGCCCATAAAGGAACTGCAGTGCTCAAGCTCATATGGGCTCTATGAGGCAGGTAATAACGCACTTATTGCCCAGCTGAGAGGACTGAGACACTGAGTGGAGGCTGATGGGTGACTGATGAGTCAGGAGCCTTCATGCGCACAGTGTTTCTGTCCTGGCATTCCCTCTATTCCCCATAGGGGCACCTCCAGGTGCCTGAAGGACAAACAGGGATTGGGAACAGCCAGCACTGAGTCACTGAGAGCAAACCATGCTGATGGGCTTGGTGATGATTTTGTGGATGGGGAGTGCAGCGGATGGAGCCCCTTCCATTTCTTCCTGGCTCTGCAGTGCCCTCGTTAATCCCAGCTCTGGTCAGAGGCTCCATAGAGCTGTGATGGCAGGATGTTGGGAAAAATGAATGGACTCAGGGAGGGATTTTGGAAGCTAAAGTTCTGGTGGAAGTGGGATTTCCTTGGAGATAAAGATCAATCATGGCAGTTCTCTGCCTAAAGTAAATGTGTTTTCTTTCCCTCCCCTGTTTTTCCTTGAGGTTGCTAGGGACACCTGGGGCTGTGACTGGGGGCAATACGAAGAAAGAACACTGTGTATGAATGCAGGGAAAGATTTGCTGGCAAAGCAGCACACCAAACAGTGGGTGAAGAGCCGGATTGTGCTTCCTGCACTGAGTGAAAGCATTCCTGGCATGCACCGACACACCTCACGTGCTGGGACACATGCCTAATTATCATGATTAACATTTCCATGATGGATGGCGTCCCGGTGTGGTGTTACTGCCTGGTTAATGGGATGGTAGCACACAGGGAGCAAACAGTTGGTACTAGGGTCACTCATTGGTGGGGTGTGTGTGACAGACCATGGGGAAGTCCATCCATCACCCCTCTGGTGGGGGCTACCATGCAGGGGAGTACGCAGCACACAGCTGCAGCTCAGCCCAATGAAACAACTGTAGCTGTGGCTGAGGTCCTCACGCGTGAACTCAGATTCTGTTTTCCATTTAACAGATTTACTTGTGAGAATCGTAATGACTTTTAATATATGCATATCGTAATGTTGGGGGTAAAAAAAGGAGGAACCAAGGGTCAGTGGATTGTTATCAACTTTATTATTGAATACACAGGGAGAAAGTCAACTTGCAATAGTCCCCGCTGCTCCTGCCCCTCACAGCGTGTGCCTTTTTCCAACCCAGCCCCATCCCTTGTTTGGAACAGCCCTGAGATTATGATGCACTGAAGCTGTGAGAGAAGGAGCACTTGTTATCAGCTGCCTGCACCTCCTGTTGTTCATCCATCACCTGGATGCTTGTCTTTCCCCCAGACCCAGGAGCAAAGTGGGGCTGGGGTGATTGAGGTCAGTTCTTTGGTGGAGAAAACCTCTGGGAATTTCATAGCACTGTGGCATGGTTTGGGTTGGGAGGGACCTTAAGGATTAAGTGGTCCAAACCCTTGCCATGGGCAGAACACCTCCCACAAGGTCGGGCTGCCCAAGGTTCCATCCAGCCTGGCCCTGAGCACCTCCAGTGATGGAGCATCCACCTCTTCCCCGAGCAGCTGTGCCCAGAGCTTGATTTAGAGTGTTGATGCCATCACAAAGCAGGGGACCACATCTCTGAAGTCCCCAAAGTGTGCAGAGCAGCAGCCAGAAAGCAGAGGTGGCAGCACCAGCAGCTTGGGCAAAACGCAGAGCACCTCCATGCCGAGCTTGGGGGCAGCAGTGTGGAGCAACGTGCTGGCGTGGGACCTCTCCTCATTTCTTATACTGGAAGGGTGGCAAGATCTGCACTTGCTTGCACTGGTGCTGGCCAGGATGCTGTGGCAGGGGCATAGCGGTGGGGCAGCAGTGCTGGACAGGAGGACGGCAGTGCTGGACAGATGGACGGCAGTGCTGGACAGATGGATGGCAGTGCTGGACAGGAGGACGGCAGTAGGGGATGCAGGGACAGCGGTGCTGCAACGGTTGGGGATGCAGCGTGATGGGCTCCTCAGAGGGGCACTGCTCCACTCTCCTGCGGGGCTTACAGCAGCCCTGCTCCTCACTCTGCTGTGGTGGTCGGTACTGCTGCAGTGGCCGGCGGTGGATTTTCACTGGTGGGCAGACGGGCTGCACAGGACTCACCTCCACCCGCCGTCGGGGTTTACCACAATCCCAGCTGCGCTGTGATGGGCAGCAGCTGCGGGGCGGGCAGGGCTCTATGGGTTGGCAGCCCTGTGGCACGCTCTGGCAGGACCCCTCGATGTCGTGGCTGAGGCTGCTGCGGTCGTGGCATGGAGACAGATCTGGGATGCTCACGGGGCCGTCGTGGCAACCGCAGGTTGCATCGTCGTGGCATCCAAAGTCATCTTCGCCCTTACGGTACTGCATCGTGCAGCAGAGACGGCCAAGCCCTCGGGGATAAACAGGCTGGGAAAAAGAAAACCGTGGAGTTTTGCATTTTGGGGTTGTTTCTAGGCAAAAATTAGGAATCTGAGACAGCAGAGGGAATCCAACTCACCCTGTGACCGCTGGCGGGTGGCTGAGCAGTGTCTGAGTCCTGAGGACCGCGCCGGAGCCAAAAGCTTTTATATGCAGCTGCGCTCTCCTGGCAATGAGGCATGCCATGGGAATTAATAGCTGAGCACTGAGTGCCACTTCTGCATGTATTTTTTTTTTTTCCTGACACTTACTATTGGATTAATCAGCTGCAATTAGCAGCTCCCTTGCTGTAATGTCAGCGTAGCTCTTTGCATATGCATTGGCCATTATCTAATTAGTTCTCCCATCGGTTACGCTCAAATAGGCTGTTACCTAATGTACGTCAGATGGGGTATGGGATAAGGATACCTGGAATGCCGTGATGCTGACTGATGTTCCCAGAAAGTCTCATGGCAGGGGGAAACCCATCAGTGGGAATGGGGGTCCCGCATCCCAAACCCAACTGCCCTGGAATGGGACGTTGGAGCAGTGTGCAAATGGTGGTGGGTTCCCATGGGGAGGGTTCGAAGAAAGTAGAGATTAACACATCCTAGAAAATGAATAATCTTGTCAAAACAAATGGTTTTTTACTATTAATACATAAATATTTTTTTTTCCCAAAGGAAAATTTGGAAAAATAATGAATACTGCTTTCATTAATGACTGCTTGATTTTTGCATTCTGTTTCACCCTTCCTGGCCTCACCTAAGCCTCATGGCTGTGGGGTGGGCTTTCACCCCAAGCCACTCTTTGGGTTTTTCACCCACTCTGGGAAATAAGAACTGGTGCTGCTCAACGCCAGTGAGGATTTTCTGCCTTTCCACCCCAACTGAACGGGTTCAGCACCAAACGCCCTTTTATGCTCTGCAAATCTGGAATGAGGACATCACAGAGTGGTGCTGACCTCACCAACCAACGATGCCATGCTTTGTCCAGGGCCGTGTCCACCTCCTGATGGTTCTGCATTGACTCACTGCCCATGGAGCTCCTCCTCTTTGCATTTCTGATTAAACACCAGCAGAGCATCTTCCCCAGCTGCCTGGGGCTCCGTGCAAAAGGCATTTCCACTCCGCAGCAGAGCTCTGGAAGTGATGCTCAGAGTTTGTCTGAGCAGCGATGGGGTTTGAATCATGGGGAAAAGCATGTGCAGAACGCAGGGGTGTGACTGCAGGGCTTCGCTGGGATGATTTATTCTCCAGCTCCAGGAAAAAATGTAATTGCTTTGCAGGGAGGCACAGGACTTGCTTGTAAGGGTGGAAAAACCCCTGGCGAAGAGCCATCAGGAGTTTTGATTTACAGCTCGTCGCCGCAGCCCCGTGACGATGCTGCTTCTGTAGAATTTGTTTTTGTCCATTTATTTATTTTTTATTACATTTGAAAAGACGTTTTGCCCTTCCCGTGGAACTTTGCAAGTATTTCACTTCTTGATCTCACTGCCACGTTTTAATAGAACCCCAGGTGGAATTAAACAGCATTCCTGAACCCTTCCAACTACATTTGTATCTCCTTATCTTTCAGCGACTCTCCCTGCACCATCTGTCTTAATTTGGACACTTGCTTGTCTATTTACTGTTATTGATAAAGTATTGGTCTGCTATGAAGCTTTACTGCCCAGCACACGCATTGGGAAGGTTTCCATTAGCAAGAGGGCCTTTATCTCTGCTGTAGGTTTATAAAGGCGCTTCTATTGTTTTATTGCAGATGGTTCTTCTTGCAAGCATGAAAAGATGGCAGGGACTGCAATGGCTTGGCAAACTGACCCCAGCAAGTGCTGCTCGTCCCCAGGTGAGCACTGAGCCAAGAAGTTCACCGTGTGCCCCAGGGTGCTGCCATTGCTGAGTTGTTGGCAAATTCCTTATAATCAGAAAGTAAGCAGCTGATAAAAAAGTCCCAGATCAGAGCTACGGCTTAAAACAACATGGAAAAGGAATTCACACAGACCAGAAGTTTGCAGTGTCATAAGGCACAGCTTTTATTGTCTTTCATGACTAATTGGAGATTAAAGCAAAGGAAGGAGAGCATCCCATACACCAAGAGGAAAATTAGCGGCAGGATTAGTGCTCACAAAGGATAAACCACACTGATCAGCGAGGAGAAACTTCAAAGCACATTCCAGGCATTTGGTGATGAAAGGTAAGCAAAGAAGAGGAGAGATCTGCAGTCTCTAAGCAAAGAAGGGGGAACATCCATGGCCGTGTCCGTGTCCATGTCCATATCCAGCAGCGAGGAGCCAGGGGGGAGCAGCAGGAGCGCAGCAGCAGGGGAGCTGAGCGCAGCCTTGTTCTGCACCCAGGGCTTTAGTTGCCACAGCCACAGCAGCCACTGTTGTTGTTGTTGCTGCTCAGGGTGTAGCAGCAGCTCATGGGCATGCAGCAGGGTGTGGGGCAGCAGTACTGAGAGGGATAGCAGCACGGTGTCTTGCAGCACCTCGGACTGCTGTAGCAGCAGACGGTGTAGTTGTTGCTGTTGCCACCGCAGCACCCGCAGCCTCCGTTGGGCATGGTGATGGTTGTGTAGGCAGAGCTGGAAGGGAATAGAAAGAGTCAGGCTGTGACAGAGAGCGTATTCGGAAATGCAGAATTCACTCAGTGCTCTCTCACTCAATGTCAGAGATTCAAGGAGCTGAAACCTGCTCCTGTGGTATTTTTTTGGTAGTAAGTCTTGCCTGGAACATCTGCCTGTCTTTCTGCTGCAGTGGAGACGCCCACCTCCTCGTCCCTAACAGTGTAGCAGCAGTCATACAGCAATGTTCAGGCAGTCCCGGGCCTGAAATGCTCCCATTGCTCTGAATGGCTCCACCGATGCTCTCATGGCCTCTCCATCCCGAGGCTCCCAGCATATCCCTTCCTAAAGCCCAGCGTCAGCCAAAGACCCAACCCAGACACCCATCTCTATTCGGACACCCGTAGAGTTTCTCTTCTGTGAATAGGAAGGAAGGTTAAAAGCTCTCACTTACCCTGCTGAACGGTGAGGAGAAGTGGAGAGAAGAGGAGAGGAGCGAATGAAGTGCCCTGGACCCTGAGACCTTTTATAGTCCCTTCGCACACCCTCCTCCTGGAAGTGAGACAGGCATTGACCATTCAGACTTCCCTGTTTACTAACCCAAACCCATACTTTTTAGCTATACGTGTCTTCTGATGTTTACTCTTTGCCTTATTATCTGTGATCACAACCTTTATTTTGCCTCATAACTATTTAGCCTGCAGATAATCAAAGGGCTCCCATGAATACTAATGAATTTGTCCTTGCTGCAGCTTTGCATGGGAGCCAAAAAATGCATCCCTGCATCCGTTTGACCAACGCGGACTGTGATGGCCACAGATGCTCAGGGATTTACTCAGCAGTGGCTGATGCTGAGTCAGTGTGAGGACTGAAACCGAAGCCCCCAGGTTGTGTTTTTTGGGTGTGTGATGGGATGTTTCACCGGACCGGAGTCTGAAACAAACATCTGGTGAATTTCATGGAGCTACGTGTGTTCGTTCCTGGTCACAGGACACGCATTTGAGGAAGGAGCATGCAGATCATGCGCTTGGGACATGCCAGGGTCACATCAGTTCCTGGGTCCTGGTCACCTACACGTGACTCCACGTGATCATCATTCCCCCCTGATCTCAAGAGTGTCTTCGTGTTGTCCTTTGGTTTGCCTAAACTTCTGCACATCCTCCAGGCTGGGAGGTCCAGCTTTGCGTTGGGCATTACCAACACAAAGAAGAGATGCTTCAGTTCCTGCTCTGCTCTGCCAGGTCTGCTTCCCTTGGAATGTTTTCTAAGACTCTGAACTGAATTGGCCTCCCTGCGGAATATTTTGCATTTTAATTAAAAAGTTGAGGGACTGCACTTGTGCAAATGGCGACACGAGGAGGTACAGCTCTGGGGAAGGGTGTGATGCATGATAACCTCAGGAGGTTCAGCAAGGCTGAATGCACAATCCTGCACTGGGGTCAAGGCAACCCTGGCTGGTGAATGCAGTGCTGTGGGGAAGGAATTGACGTTCTGGTGGATGAAATGTTGGAAATGAGCTGTCAATGTGCAAATGTCCCCAGAAAGGCAGCAGGGGATGCACCAAAGGCAGTGTCCCCCGTGCAAGAGAGCACCTCTGCTGTGGAGATAGCCGTGGGATTATTGAGCCTGAGGAAAAGAAAGCTCTGGAGAGACCTCACTGCAACCTTTCAGAGTATAAAAATGGGGAGGGAGGAATTTTTTGCCAGGACCTGTAGAGACAGCATGGACTGAGAGAAGATGAGGGCAGGAGAGTTAACCAGCACAGAAAACCGGTCCCAGGTGGAGTCACGGGGCTCAGCAGGAGGCAGGAACTGCAGCCATGCAGGAAGAGAAGTTGCTCAGGTGAAACTATCTTTTGGGAGGACAGAGGGAGCAGGAAGCTCCAGGTGAAGCCTTGGGCAACTGAGCCAGGCAGAATGAACGCTCGTTTAACGCTGACCTCCTGTGCCCTATGCTGTGGGGCTGGAGGCTGGCAGAAACACAGAGTACTCAGCAGGAAGTTTTCCTGTGACTGAGATTCATGGCTCTCATTTGAAGCTTTTGCCCCATTACCCCAAGAGGAGAGGTGCCTAATGAGCGGATGGCGGAGCTTGCCTGGTGAGTTCCCTGCGTCTGCCCTGCGTCCTATGATGCTGAGCTGCTGCCAACCCCGAATGTATTAGCAGGGATCCTGCTTTGCTTTCTGCAACATGCAAGGGGAACAGACATGGCTGTAGAACTGCTTCACCCCGCAGTAAATCCTGCCAGCTCCTTCCGAGGCTTTGCTGGAATGACAGTCATTCCTTGAGCGAAATGCTGGAGAAGGAACACGCGTAATTGCAAGGTCTCCAGGCAGGGAAGGAGAACATGCATGGCATTTCCTTTCTAGCAGATCCCTCCTGAAGAGACATGCATTGCCTGCCTGTGAGAGCTGATTAATTTATAGGGAATTAATGGGGCAGAATCAAAAGGGCAATCTTCACTTGCACCTTCAAGCAGGAAAAGTTCTCATTTGCAAATCCTGCAGCGGGAAGAGGTGAGGATCTAAGAGGGCACATCCCACTAATGATAGTGATGTGCGTGTAACTGGGATATTCATGGACTTCAGTGGGTGGGCTACAGATCAAAGGGTCTGCAAAGGGACTGGTGTGGGGTGCAGTCAGCTAAAGGGATTTAGCCACAGACTGAGGACCACAGAGCAGAGCTCACATGCTGTGTTATGGTCCAACCCCAGATGACCCAACCACTCCTTGAAGGTGATGGAGGCATCTCAGATTTTCTTCCACCACCTGAGCTCTGTACTGGGAAACCCAGGCATTTAGGTACAGACAGGACGTCCTTCTCATAAATGTTAAAGTGTTTGTAGGAATTCTCCATAGGTGCTTTAGTAAATCTACGAGTGGTTGAAACACACAAAGCTTTCCTATATGTGACGTGCCTATGTCAGTGTTCCAGAAGTCATTCACATCCATCACAAGTTTATATATTATCTTCTATTTCTTTGTAGTTTTACAGCAAAAGTAGGAAGGTTGCTTGCCCAGACACCCAGCTTATACCTGACTAGGCTCATGCACAAGCTCAGAGCTGCATCGGGGACACAGAGCAGTTCATTCTGTGTTCAAACCTCCCCAGTTCACACCATCTATCCAGCAGCAGCCCATTGCTGGAAGAAAATGCAAAGAGAATGCAATAGATGAGGTGATGCACTTCAGATGCACCAGGTAGCAAACAGACAACAACCACAAGTTCTGCAGTGCTATGAACTACAGGCTTTAATAGGTATGTATATATTTTTTTTCCAGGCAGATTGAAGCAAAACAGAGACGAAAAGCATTTAACATCCCATACACCAAAAAGCAAAGTTAACAGCAGGGACTAGTGCTTGCAAAGGAAAATCACACTGATCAGTGGGTAGAAACTTCAGAGCACATTACAGGCATTTGGTGATGAAAGGCGAGAAAAGAAAAGGAGAGATCTGCAGTCTCTAAGCAAAGACGGTGCTTAGGGCCTTATCATATCCATATCCAGCAGCAAGGAGCCAGGGGGGAAGCGCAGCAGCAGGGGAGCTGAGCGCAGCCTTGTCCCGTGCCCACAGCTTTAGTTGCCGCAGCCGCAGCAGCCACTGCTGCTGTTGTTGTTGCTCAGGGTGTAGCAGCAGGTCATGGGCATGCAGCAGGGCATGGGGCAGCACTGCGATGGGCAGCAGTACTGTGATGGGCAGCAGGACTGCGAGGGGTAGCAGCACTGCGAGGGGCAGCAGCTCTGCGTCTTGCAGCACGGCGTCTTGCAGGACTTGCTGCTGCTGTAGCAGCAGACGGTGCAGTTACTGCCACCACCGCAGCATCCGTTGGGCATGGTGCTGGTAGGAGTGTAGGCAAAGCTGGAAAGGAACAGAAAGAGTCTCATTTTCTCTGCCTGAATTTCAGTTTATGCTGCTTAAGGCATGCTCATCCCCAAGTCCATCCCAAACTGGATGGCAAAGTCCAGAATCCCAAGGCAGCCTGTCCCTGAGATCTCCATGTTTTGGCATCGGCCATCAGTGCATGGCTTAGTGGCCATTAAAGGGAAGCCACCCAGGTGGACCCCAAAACCAATCTCTAGAGCTGACCTCAAACAAGGCAGCGTAGGAAATCACAGATAACTTCCTACAAAGCACCCAGATACAATACAACACAGCTGAGAAAGCAAGCTTCAAGCTCCAACTTACCCTGTTGACCAGTGAGAACAGGTGAGAGGAACTCAAGATGAGTGAATGAAGAGTTGAGTGGTGGGCAGCCTTTTATATGGCTCCAAACGGTACCCCTGGAAATGAGGCATTATTCAGCAATTCACCCTTTATCCCCCAATGTATGCCTCTCACATGTCTTCCGGTGCTTAATCTTGACTTTTTTCTGCTTGCTCACCGCCTCAACGCTGCCCCATAATTAGTTGCACGTATGAACAACAGGTGCAAATTTTCTAATCAATTTACATTAATGGGAATGGGACGTAGCTATAGAGTGATCCCATCCGCTTCCTCAGGAATGACCTTGAGACACTCAGCAATTTGCTCGGGGTGCTGAAGCAGGCGGGAGAACCATGCCTGCAAAAAGGAAATGTCATTCATTGCTCATGCGCCCCCTCGGCTGTAATTCTGGGGGGCCAGTGGACAAAATTTGTAAATGTGAACTGCTTTTCTCCTGCCTCTGAGAGGTTGGTTGTGCATCCGAAGTTGGTGGAAGTCTTTCTGTTTTCCCACTGTGCATAGGGCTGTTGCAGTGGTGCTTTGTCCTCACATCTGCGCTTTTTATTTCTCAGATACATGCAGCCTTCCCCTGTGTTGTTTCCACGTTTTCCATTTTCTGAGGTTGTTTCTAGGGCATGTGAGGCGGAGATAGCTTGGGTCTCATGGCATTCATGCTGATTAATTTGTTTCATCAGTTAGTTGAGTATTTCAGACTAAGGATTTGATTCTGTGTCCTTCGCAAGCATGATGTTCAAGGAAACTAATCCTGATCACATTTCCCCATGCTAATGCTCTGTACTTCCAATGATCTCAAACTGCACAATGCTCTGATTGTGTGATTCTGTTGGAAACAATGAAGATGCCATGAAACAGGTTTGGGGATGAGAAAATGTACTGTGGCCATTGGGCATCTCCATGTGACAAGAAGATGCTGGTAGGGTTTTCAGTTGAGAATGACATAGGATCAGAGTTCCAAGATGCTGAAGTAGCACCTATTTGTGGCAATTAAAAACTGCTGTCGCATTCAGCAGGCTCAGAGGCGCGTGGCTGGGGTGATGGCAGGTGACCCACGATGGCTGGGACACGTAATTTCTTCCTAAAATGTGAATAGAATCTCCAGTGACGTTGGTGTCTCTCCTGGAATTGTCCCCAGGCAAGTATTGGCCATGCAATAATAAGCAGATACTTGCTGCAGGAGGTAACGTCCTCTTTGGGCAAGCACTCCAACATGCCATCCACCAAATAAATTATTTATTGCTCTTTTATCAGGCTTGATTGTTGGTTGTGTTGAGGGAGATGGTTTAATGAGAACTGTTGGCGATAGGCAGATGGCTGGACTGGGGGATATTAAAGGTCTTTTCCAACCTTGGTAATCCTATGATTCTATGATTCTATGAATCTATGATTCTATATTGGCCAGGATGATTGCTTCGTAGGAATGGACGTGAACCTGCAAGGCTGCTGTTCATTGGGATTTTATATATGTTGAGGAGATTCTGGGACAAAACGGGTCAGAAATATCAGGCATCTTGGATCTTGCACGCATTACAAGGGAAGCCACGTCTCTGTGAAATTCCATGGAGGTTACTTGAGTTTGGGAGTGGCAGTACCTTTGTGAAATGGGAAGAATCTACAATGGCAGCTTTTCCAGCACGTGCTGAAATTGACATTAACAAGATTTCATGACAGAACACACTTCTGATTGGGTTTCCTGTGGCATGGTATAGGACATCCTTCCACGAGTGCATTGAGTATGATTTACCTGTGATTTAAAAGCTCCCAAAGACCTGAACCATCTTTTCAAGAGAGTCTAAAGTGGTAGAGAAGATTATTCTGATGCAGACTTTGTGTATACTGAAGGTCTGATTGAGAGGAGCAATCAAGACAGTGCTCAAGGCACTTTCCTGAGACATGCAATTCAAAGCCGTGTCCTGAATGTTAATGGTTAAGGAAGTCTCAGCCAGGTGGAGAGGGTATTGCTGACTCATGTGTGTGCTATTCGAGGAATGGAGCTTTTAAGTTCTATTCTGCCTCCTGGGTTTCATTCCAGTCCTTATAATCCAGGAACGCAGCACAAGAAAATCTTTGCTCATATAAAAAGGATTCACCAAGTAAAGGTATTCTGTGAATTTTATTTTCAGAGGTGTTAGAGGAAGGAGGTGGTGACTGCTGTTCAGTGAGTAGTGAATTCCTCTCAGTTCTGTTTGAAATCAGAATCATAGAATAGTTTGAGTTGGAAGGAACATTTAAGATCATCTAGTTTTGACCCCCCTGCTGTAGGCAGGGACACCTCCCAGTAGGTCAAATTGCTCAAAGCCCCTTCCAACCTGACCTTCAATGCTTCCAGAGAGGGGGCATCTACTCTGCCATGAGGGTTCCTACACATTGTTAGATGTGGGGTGTTTTCAGAACTTGGAATTATGCATATTTCATTCAGTCCTGTCAGTTCTATTGCCCTTAACCACTACGATTGATGGCCAAAATTGAGATGAGTATCTGAGGCAGAGGATCAGCAAAACAGCATCACACTGCTCTGCCATCTTTAGACATGACCTAATTCATGCCAACGAGAAGCTAGGATGAGTAGTTCTGTTTCCCAAATGTTCTACCTTGCAATTGAAGCACATGTTGGTCCTCAGGAGCCTGATGATGACTTGAAACATTGCACCAGGACAAGGACATGTTCTAATCAAAATGAGGTAAGAACAACCAAGCAACAAGATATTTTGTGTTTTGCTTAATGCCAAGTTTTATTGTCTACATCTCAAGAGAGAAAATACAGAATGACCACACTAACAGCAAATGTTTCCCATGTCCCATACACCAAGAAGAGAATGAATGTATAAGATCTCCATGCCTTGTACAATGGGTGGCATATCCAAGTGCACTGCAGATCTTTGATAATTAAAAGACAGCGTGAAAGGAGGAAGATGACAGCTTAATTTTGGAAACCAGAAGAAAATCAGCAGGCATGTACTCCATCATCGTGTGAAACAGAAACGAAGGTCAGGTCTCCATCCCCTTGTGCCTGTTCTTCTTGCACACCAGAGATGGCTGTGGGCAGAGCTGTTTCTCCTACTCAGAGCAGGTTCAGCAGCACTTCTTGACGGTGGTGCAGCACTGCTTGATGGGCACGCAGCACTTCCTCAGCGGGGAGCAGTACTGCACGGGGCTGCAGCACACCACAACGGGCTTCTTCTTCACCACGTAGGAGCAGCAGGACAGACGGCCAGAGCAGCAGCAGGGGTGGCAGCAGGTCTGCAGGCACCGCTGGCTACAGCAGCTGCAGCAGGTCTTCTGGCACGGGTCACAGCAAACGGACTGCTGGCATGGGTCACAGCAAGTCTGGCACGGGTCACAGCACGGCTTCTGGCATGGGTCACAGCAAGTCTGACACGGGTCACAGCATGGCTTCTGGCACGGATCACAGCAGACAGTCTTCTGGCACGGGTCACAGCAGGTCTGGCACGGGTCACAACACGGCTTCTGGCACGGGTCGCAGCAGACAGTCTTCTGACATGGGTCACAGCAAGTCTGGCATGGGTCACAGCAAGGCTTCTGGCATGGGTCACAGCAGACAGTCTTCTGGCACGGGTCACAGCAGGTCTGGCATGGGTCACAGCAAGGCTTCTGGCATGGGTCGCAGCAGACAGTCTTCTGGCACGGGTCACAGCAGGTCTGGCATGGATCAGAGCAAGGCTTCTGGCATGGGTCACAGCAAGTCTGGCACGGGTCACAGCAGACAGTCTTCTGGCACGGGTCACAGCAAGGCTTCTGGCATGGGTCACAGCAAGTCTGGCATGGGTCACAGCAGACAGTCTTCTGGCACGGGTCACAGCAAGGCTTTTGGCATGGGTCACAGCAAGTCTGGCACGGATCAGAGCACGGCTTCTGGCATGGATCACAGCAAGTCTGGCACGGGTCACAGCACGGCTTTTGGCATGGGTCACAGCAAGTCTGGCATGGATCAGAGCAAGGCTTCTGACACGGGTCACAGCAGACAGACTGCTGGCACGGGTCACAGCACGGCTTTTGGCATGGGTCACAGCAAGTCTGGCACGGGTCACAGCAAGGCTTCTGACATGGGTCACAGCAGACTGTCTTCTCAACGCAGACAGTCTTCTGACACGGATCACAGCAGACAGTCTTCTGACACGGATCACAGCAGACTGTCTTCTGACACGGATCACAGCAGACTGTCTTCTGGCAGGGGCTGCAGCACACCGTCTTGCTCTTCACAACAGAGCAGCATCCGCTGGAGCAGCACACGCTCATGGTGTTTGTTGGTAGTGTAGTCCAAGCTGGATCTGAAACACAACGCACATTAAGATACAATCCATCAAGTTCAGAGATGTGTTTTAATTTGACGTGCTGATGCCGCTGTCTAGCCCCACGGGTGACAGCCATATCACACATCACTTCCTATCTGTATTGAGCTGCACAAAACTGAGGCTTACATTGAGCCACCTGGCACTACCCCACCAATATTTCTGCATCTTTTGAGCTTCCCTTACTGTCTGATGCACATCACTTGCAGAATTCCCATCCCAAAAAGACTTCTTTTCCACTCCCAAGGCCTCAGTTCTGCACACCAACAGTCTTTTGCAGCAAGCAGTAGACCAACAGGATGGGAAAGTTGCTGCCTCAGAGTTGTAGATCAAAGAGCATTTTCATTCATTGCTTGACCAAAGCCAAATGAGAACCGTTGTTAGCAGCCAACCCTAGGTAACACTTACCTTGCTAACTGAGGGGTTGAGTTGAATGAGGAGCAAAGGGGTGGGGAGACCTTTTATTTAGCTGAAAATGGCCCTGACGGAAATGAGATACCCCACAGCAATTTGTGATTTACCCACTAAGCCTATACTTATTTGTTGAATGTGCCCGCATCTGTTTGGTCTTCACCTCATTATTTTTGACCAACCCCTCAATCTTGTGTTATTATCAATTTATTCTGTGAATTTTTTACAATTTTTTAATGTCAAGTTAATGTGTGGTGCCCTTGAACCACTTAACAAGCACGTTTCTGCTCATTTTGCATCTGGTAGTGCTGTGGCACTGAGATGCTGGATGGGCAGTGAGTGGCAAATTAACGCACAAATCATAATTCGGATTGAGGAGAGCTGGATTCCAGAGGTATGCAGGGGCCTTTTGGGTGTCAGTCACTCCTTCATATGATTTTTATTTCTTTACATGGAGTTCCACCAAATGTAGTTCCGTGGCCCCATGTTTTGTTAATGAAGGCAGAAATAGTAAAGCCTGATGACGTTCTTTGGGGCCTCTGTTCATCGGAAGAGCAAATGTGGAGCAGAAAGCTCTTGACATCTCATCCCTCAGTCAAGATAAGGGAAAATGCATGCCCTTGGTGTCACCAATACCAGAAATTTTAGCTGAAAGAACCACGCAAATTCATCATGGAATCATGTGGAATTGATTTCGGGTCAAATCAGAGTCCTTATTTTTCCAACTCCTTTTTTTTTACATGAAAACAAGACACAAAAGTTGTCTGGAAATCTTACATACTTACCATATGCTTAACATGACTTGATCTGCAAAATTCCTATTCCATTTTCAAGTTCCCATATGCCCTCGAGTAATGGAAGATCCACCTACGGAAGGTATTCTTAGAACATCTCCACGCTCGGTTCTCCATCACCCATTGGCAGCCATTAGAGCCAATGCTAATGATCATATTGCAATTATTCATTAACGGTGTTAATATTTATTTTGCACGATGGCCTGAAGGCCTCACATAATGAGTGGAGCATTGTGACGTTTCCAAACTGATGTCTGCCTAACAATTTGTCTCCGGTCAGGGGGAAGGCACGGGGCCGGGGCTGTGACTGGATGATAAATGCTTTGTGCTGAGGTCACCCTGGGGCAAACTCTGCTCATGCCATGAGGGTCTGTGTGAGTGGCAGCACCCAAGGACCCCAGGCCACCTTCTCCTGCATCTTCACTGAAGATTTCTGCTGAGGTAAATGGGAGAAGATCCGGGCCTTCTGCGTTCCTAAGCTTCCTGGAACACAGCAAAACCCAGAATCACAGATGCTGAGGACAGGAGAAGTCATGACTGACATTTTACTTCTGATGGCATCGAGCACGCGTTCCTACTCCATTTCTGTTGGGGTGCTGCTGCTAGGCTTGGCTCAGGGCCTTCCATCATAAAAGGAACCATCAAGTTCCCTTTCTCCAAGCAAGCTTTTCCCAAGTTCAGCTTCCCATCTGCTAAAACGTGAGCTTTGCCTCCCATGGAATTTGTTTAGCTTCATGCTAACAACCCAGATGCACCGGGTCACTGCATGTCATTAGAGCCCAATTCAGCAATATAGATGGGCACTAGCTGATAAGAAAGGGAGGGCAACCCAGGGGATGGCCAGGAGAGGACTGGTGAGCTGCAGGGAAGCAGGAGGGTGCCCTGCAACATTGCAGATGGGGAGAGAGTGAGCAGTGTGATAGGACAGATGTTGATGAAAGAGAGGCAGATTTCTGTGGGGCTTTGTATGGATGTGATGCACTGCTTCATCCCCTGTGCTGGTAGGTTGGGAAAGCAGTGCTGCTGTTGGAGCTGGCTGAGCACAGCAGCTGTGCCTGAAGCCATCCGTGAGGAATGGTCAGAGAGCCTGAGGACCAGAAAACAATTCCCCAATCCCTTGCTACCAACTGGAAGAAAAAAAAAATAATAATAATCCCCATTACCTTTTAGGCTTAGTGAACAAACACAGAGACCTACGTAAGATGCTCAGAGTAAGGCAGTGATGTTTATTTTGTTTGTGAATTATGAATGCGGTGAAGCAATCATTGCCATGTAACAACTAATGTAAATTCCCCCTCATTAAACCTGCAGGGCTTTGCTAATAGTTCATCCTGGTTGTGGAAATCTGCTATTAAGCTATTGGATGCAGTGGAGCAGAACTGTTTCTCTAAGCTATCTAAAGCATTGGGCATGGAGAACTTCTTCCCTTTGCAAATTCTTATGGTCTTGGATTTTTATTATCATTTTTATTTGTTGTATTGTTGCAAAACATCCACCCAGTGCTTGATCTTTGCAGATGGTGAAGCTGACAAAACTTTCATTCTTGTTTCCTGTTATGTCTGCAACTTCTCATCCTGAAGTTAACAAAACTTCAGGCTTAAGCATAGAGGAAAACGTAACCCAGCTAGAGCTGTGAGTCCTTTGTGGGACTAGAGCAGGAAGCAAAAAGGGCTGTGATTAATCATGAAATAGAAAGTTGAAAGCCTGGGGCATGAAAGGAAAGTGAATGCATGTACCTGAAGACAAAACCACTCGTGAGCAATAAAAGCCAACACCCAATTGGAGCCATCCCAGTTATTGACCCAACATTCAATTGGAGCCATCCCAGTTATTGACCCAACACCTTATTGGAGCCATCCCAATTACTGATGACCCAACACGCCTGATTTGGGAGAAGTGAGGAATGCAGAAGGGAAGGAGTTTTTAATGTGTTTCCCACCAGCTGAAAGTGAGCCACCTCTTAGTAATGGTAACAAGAAGGATTCAGCTCTGTAATTAATTGCCCTCTGTCTTCAATTGGCAGCTTTTCCTTTTAAATAGGCTGTTCCTCCATAATGACAAATTTCTCTAACTTACAGAGAACTATTTCCGATTACTTCTGCACCAACTGGTTATTTACTGGGGATTTTAGCGTGCAGCTCACCCAGCTTTGCTTGCCCCAGGATGGATGAATCATGCTTGGGAAACCTTTGCTCATTTTACACTGTAGAAAACATTTAATTGAGGGTGTTCCAAGGTGCTGTTAATGTCCCTGCAGGATTTGCTTTGTTTTGTTTCCAAATATAGCAGCACCTTTTAAAGATCCCATGTGGAGAGCAAAGGTGACTGGGCAGGGAAAGCCCCTGGCTGTAACTCTTACACCCTCACTGCATCTGCTTAATGCAAACACTCAGTTTTTACCCAGAATTGACCCAGTGCAGTTCTTGCAGCCCCTCTGTGCAGTGCTGAGAGCATTTCCCCAACTTCCACCCCTCATTGGTGCTCCTCACGCTATGGCTGAGTCTGCCAGTGATTAAAACACAGCTCAAAACCCACAAATTCAATAGGAGAGAATAGTGACTAAACACCTCCAGAATGGTTGAAATCCAGGTTTTATTTCTTGGCTGAAGATGGGAGCAGCAAGGCAAGAAGGAAACTACTGGCAGCGAACACCGTGCGTTGCACTGGTGGAAAGAGCTCAAACAGGTAATGAACCAGAGGTTGTGCACCCCGATATTGCATGGCCCTCCACCTGCTTTGAAAGCATTTCCTTATGGAGAAGCAGTGTGGCTGATAAGCAATGAACGCTGGGGATGAGGTCAGTGCGTTGAGCAGGAAGGTGTCCGTGGGTTGCAGAGCCAGGTGCACGGCCGGATCCTGCTGTTAGAACTTGGGGCACGGTGGAGGCAGCTTGCAGATGTTCTTGGTGTACTGAGGGCAGTAAGGGATGGGTGGGCAGTAGGTCTTCAGCGGGGGGCAGCAGGGCTGCAATGGGGGGCAATAGCGCTGCACTGGGGGGCAGAAGGTCTGCACCGGGGGGCAGCACGGCGTCACGTAGGTGTACTTGGGCACGGGGACCCTCTGGATGGTGTAATGGCAGGAGGGCTCCGAGTCGTGGCAGGAGGAGCGGGAGCCGTGGCAGGAGGTCTCGTGGCTGTGGCAGGAGGAGCCGCGGGAGCACATCTTTATGGAGTGTTGGCAAAGCTGCTGGGATCAGGAGATTACGGCTATGAGAAGACACCCAGGCATGCTTCTCACCCACCCTCACCCACTCCTTTCTTTCTTATTAAAATTATTATTATTATTGATCTCCTTATTGAATTCTTTGTTTCTTCCAATTCTATCCCACTTGGGTCATAGAATCATAGAATCATAGAATCACAAGGTTGGAAACGACCTGTAAGATCATCCAGTCCAACCGTCTCCTCACCACCACAGCCACCACCCGCACTGAACCACCTCACACAGCTCCTCATCCAGACGCCTCTTGAGCACTGCCAGGGACGGCGCCTCCTCCACCCCCCTGTGCAGCCATTGCAGTCCTGACCACCCTCTGAGAGGAAAAGTTCTTCCTTATGTCCAACCTAAACCTCCTCTGGTACAACTTGTGGCCATTTCCCTGTGCCCTGCTCGTTGCCTGGGAGCAGAGGCCAAATCCCTCTTCACCACAACCTCCCTTCAGGAAGTTGTACAGTGCAATGAGGTCTCCCCTGAGCCTCCTCTTCTCTAGGTTGAACAACCCCAGCTCCCTCAGCTGCTCCTC